TCAGAGTCCAGTGCCCTTTGATCAACAAGGGGAGGTTCGAGTTCTCCTATCCAGTATTCAGTTCTTACTCTCCTGATGACGACAGCCAGTACACGCTACTCGCCCAGCGAGTGTGAGACGTGACCTTCACGTTGCCATGATGCGACAAAGGTGTCATGGGACATCAGGACCAACTGATTCAACATGAAAGTCTGCACTACATCGAGTTAAGTAGGAAATACTAGCTAACCGCCCACCCCACACCAGCATTGCTACGCCTGTGCCTACTTCTCTTCGAAATCCTTTGATATCAGGTATGTCTTCCATGAAAACCTATACGCTCTCACAAGAGGAGAAGGACTTAAGGTTGTGTCATTTTCAATAGGCTAGTTACATGTTGTCGAGAAGCAATAGGCTGCGAGTGAATTCCCTAGATGACAAAATTTTGAACTTCAACAATTCTCCAGTGATCCAAACGCACGAGCGATCTCATCGCGCGATCAAAATCGGTTCGCGAACTATGAACGCGCTCTCTGAGATTGAAGGATAGACAATCTCGTGTAGGCATTCGCACTAATGCAAAAGTCTTTTTTTTGATTACAAGTAGTCAGCAAGGGCAAGTTGCCCAAGCCAGCGAGCAAAGTGCGCCAGGGGAGTGCAGTACTTCATCAGACCTTGCCATCTAAGCCTGGGCGAAAATCGTCATTCCCTGGTTCGCAGTGGTTTTCTCGTACCTCCCAGAACTAAATGCTATTCAACACAGGAGAAATCAAGGAACTGATATGGGAACGAAGCCTAAAGCTCTACAGCTCTACTGCACTTCTGACCGAGCACATGAGCGGAGAAAAATAAGGAAGAGGGAAGAGAGGTAGGAAGAAAAGAAGGAAGGAGGAAAAAAAGGAAGGGGAGGGAGGCTTCTCGGTTGACAAATATCTTGAGATCATGACTACCGTGATCCCACGAACACCACACCAAATGTACTAGTATATTCCGATCAACAACAGTGAGTTTTCCCTGAGCGCAGCAATATTGCCAAGCCAAAACTAGGATATACTTTCTACTCATCCCAAGGGATAGAACAATAAAGACTGGATGAGCAAAATGAAATATCTAGTATTAAATATGTAAATGAATTAGATAATTATATGTAAATGGACTATGGTTTCAAAAAAACACGACTGGAAAAAACTGCAAGGACAAAGTACTCACCCAGCAATCTTATTTCTCAATTGTTTGCTGCCGATGATGGCTACTTCGTCACAGATTCGCTTATTCGTGTGGAAATCGTGAGTGATTTTGGTGTAGTACTTCTCGATGATCACCCTGGACGCCTTCTTGACGGTCTTGGTACGAACGCGACTCATTCTGACTTTGCCAAGTTCTGTAACGACTCACTCATTGCAAAAAGAACAGAAACGATCCTATATGGAATAAAGAAAAGCACGACTTATGCTATCAGATTCTGCACCTCTCAAAAAAAGGACTGTCAAGGAGGCAATTCAGTAAATGTTGAAACCACAGTCAAGATATCAATGCAGCTTCATACCTAGCTAAACTTTCAACGTCTACTTAAGAAGACCTTACAACGAAAGTCCAAACAAAAAA